CGCCGCTCTGGCGTCGATCCAGCGCCGATCTGGCGTCGATCCTTGGCGTCGATGGCGCGTCGCCTCGCGCCGATCAGCGTCGCGTCGCACGTGCCGACGAGACGGCACCCGGAGGCCCCCCAGGAGCTGCCACCGTACGCTGCTCTCCAGGCCCGGCCGGCTCGGACCCCCTATCAGGGGGCCACGCGCGAACCCTACCCCTGCCCCCCACGATTTCCGAAGGGGAGGGTGGGGTTCACTTCAAGTTCGGGAGCTCCCGAACGAATGGAAGCCCCCCCCTCCCCCACAGAAATCGTGGGGGGTAGGGGTAGGGTTCGCATTTGGCCCCTACCTATGGCCGCCTCCTTCCTCCCGTGGAGCTGCCGCGCGCGGCCGCGGAGGAGGCGCGGCGCACCCTGCGGGCAGCGGGGCCTTCTGCCGACCCCGCGTCGCTCCGTGGAGCTTCGCGCTTCTCGTCCCGGCGTTGGGCGCTTCCGCGGGGTCGGGTGTCGGAGGAGGACTGGGCATGGGTGGCCCCAGCGCCGATCCGAGAAAGCCGCGCGGACCTCCGAGTTTTTATGCCTGTGCCACTTTTTGTTCCCCTAGTCCCGCTGCCCCTCGTCCAGGGTGGGGTGGGGGGGTGTCTTCGCCGGCTCCGCAGTGCCAACCCTCGGGCCGCGCGCCGCCAGAGGGGGGGCCCCGCGGCGGCCCGCTGCCCGGGACTCCCTCGTGGCCTCTCGTGCCACGAGGGGGCCACGAGGGGGCCACGAGGGGCCCTGCGTTCTTCTTCGGTTTCGGTTCTCGCGGGCGGCAGAGAGGGGGGTGATGACTAGGGGGGGGTGGATGTCATGGCGGGGGCCATGCTATTTCCCCAGATTTCATGGCGCCTTTTCTTATCTCATCACGTCCCTGGCCCCCCCGCTGGGCCGCGCACATGCCGCCGGTCATGATTTGCACCCCCCCTCTCTTGGACACCCCCCTCTTGGCCGCTCCCGACATACCGCTACCACTGCCTCGTTTTCCTCTGTTGGAGTCGCCTGGGCGTCCCTCGTCGCCACCGCTGGAGTCGCCTCGGGATCCTGGGGGAGTAGCGGTATCGGTACCTTCTGGTCTCTCCAGTTTCACATTCCGACGTTGGGCGATTCCGCGGGGGCGGGCGTCAAGGGAGGACAGACCACCCCGACCCCCTTCAAAGGCGTTGACTGAACAGCCCCGGGCGTTCGCTGAGCAGCTTCGCCTAGTTTGCGTCCTTCCATACGGCGCGCTCACTGAAGGGCTTCGACTGTCAGGGTGCTGTTGTGATGGTGGCTCTTCTGCCCTCTTAGGGTGGAAGCGAAGCGAAGTGAAGCGAACCTCGGAGTCGTGCGCGCTCCGCTGGGGAGCCCGCCCGTGTCCATTAGGGCATGGCGTGGAGGCCGTGGCCTCGAACATGCGTGTTTCGTACCTGCTGCTTCCTCCCTCCTCTTCTCTGCCAAATTCCAGCTTCGCGCGGCCCGCTTAGCTTCGACCGGAAGAGGTGCCCTCTCGACCCGCGGATCAAAAAAAGTGTTTCGTACCTGCCCGTCGCTTCGGCGAGGCGCGCCTGCCGAGAAACGACTCACGTGACGCAATCTTGTAGAACGCATCAAAGTCAGCCATCGTTCTGTCCTCGGGTCAGGGGCAACGATCGGGGGGAATGGGCTCAGGCGGTGAACATCGAGCAGGATTCGGCAATGCATCGCCGATAGATCGACGATAGGCCCCCGATGGCGAATCCGCACGTTCCTGGGCGGGGTGGACTAACAGGCCCCCGTCGGCGACGTATCGCCGATTCCAGCTCGACGTCCCCCCCCCCTGAGCCCATCCCCAGTCAAGTTAAGACGGTCAAGCAGGACGCTGAAAACACTCCGATGCAAGTATCTTGTCAGTGTCGGGCTGACGGTTCGTCCCAGGGGGAACAAAGAGTGACGTAAACATAAAAACTTTGAGGTCCGCGCGGATTTCTCGGATCGGCGCTGGACCTCCCTCCCTGGCGCGCGGAGCGCGCCAGGGGCGGCGCCGGAGGCACCGCTGGGGGGCCCCAGCGCCGATCCGAGAAATCCGCGCGGACCTCCGAGTTTTTATGCCTATGCCACTTTTTGTTCCCCTAAGTCCCGCTGCCCCTCGTCCAGGGTGGGGTGGATGGGTGTCTTCGCCGGCTCCGCAGTGCCAACCCTCGGGCCGCGCGGCCCTGCGTTCTTCTTCGGTTTCGGCTCTCGGGGGCGGCAAGGAGGGGGGTGATGACCAGGGGAGGGGGTGGATATCATGGCGGGGGCCATGATATCTCCCCAGATTTCGTGGCGCCTCTTCTTATTTCATTACGTCCCTGGCCCCCCCGCTGGGCCGCGCACATGCCGCCGGTCATGACTTGCACCCCCCCCTCTTGGACACCTCCCTCTTGGCCGCTCCCGAACGAGGGGCCCGGCGTTCTTCTTCGGTCTCGGCTCCTGGGGCCCGCCATCGGGCGCCGGGACCATCCGAGACACCCAGGGGCAGGGTTCGG